AAGCGTAATCGAGAACTTCCCGAATTCAGCGTAGAGCGTTGTCGGGGACCCCCACCCCCTTTGCAGGCCCCCATTGAAATATATGGTAAATCATCTAAGGAGGGTCTGCATGCCCTTTTTCGTTAACCGTTATGGGCTATTTTAATTTACCGTTAATCGTTGCCGGCCCGCTCTAATTCAACGTTAAGCGTTATCAGTATATTCCTCGTGAAGCGTTATGGGTCGTTTTATTTCAACGTAAAACGTTATTTGTCATCCTAAATTCAGCGTTAAGCGTTAATGAATAATTCTTCGTTACGCCTAATTTTACCTTTCAAAGTGCAGGAAAATGCGTCATTGAAGGTTTAAAAATACAAAATTTCCCGGGGGAGAATGCCCCCGGACCCCCCTACATTGCTCGCGCCTTTGGCGCTCGACTCGCGCTTCTGCGCTCGGTCCCTTCGGCTCTAGCCAGAACCAGTTTTTCCTTCAATTTCCGGACGTTTGCGGAGAGTTACAGAATTTTTTTTACGAATCCGTCAACCTTGACAGGCGAATTAACAAAAATCTTGAGTAAAATATGAAAACATCAGAAGGACCGACAAACACTCACACATGATTTGCCTCTCAAAATGCGGGAACTGCGTTTTTGAAGGCTTAAAAATCCTAAATTTCCCGGGGGAGCATTCCCCCGGACCCCCCTAGATTACGAGCTCCTTCGGCGCTCCCCTCTCAAAATCCATCGGTAAAACTGGGCAAACTGAAAAAAATGCAAGCTGGCCGACCGACGTCGACTTGGACACCCCGGTATTTGTGGACGCACTCGGGGACCAGGGCAGGTGGGAAACACAGGGAACACATACCTTTAATGCATGCTTCATTACTTGTAAGGTATACGTAATTTTGTCAGTGATCACCTTTTCTCACAAAGCGAGATACCAAATCCAGTGCAGCTCGAAAAAAAAGCCTGTCAATTTACCGTTAAGCGTTGCCGACCGTCCTGAATTTACCGTTAAGCGTTATCGGCCCTGCTGAATTTACCGTTAACCGTTGCCAGGACCCCCCCATGCAGACCCTCTCTAAGATCATCTAAGAAATGGGCTGTTAAAATTCACATACTTGAGTGACCAACTATCGGCAGAAACTCGTCGTATGATGGCCGGAATGACCCCTGGCCACCACCAAGCACATCTCATGTAGGCAGTGACCTACAAATGTAAGACGTCATAGTATACAGGTATACCCTAAAAACAGGTATACCCCAAAAAGTTCGAGTTGCCTTACTTCAACGATGACCACAATCTAATCGAGAAAGTAAACATAGGGCACGAGATTGTTATCCTTCCTGGAGTTGCCATACTGTTCCAGATTAGAGAAGTTGAAGTTGCCTTCTCTCAGATATAGAAGAGAGAGGGGGAGGGGCATGATACAAATATACAAAATCTTAAGAAAGAAAAAAGAGAGGGTACAACTGGAAAACTGGAGAACACCAGTGGACATTGTCTCAAACTGAATGTCCTCTATAAAACAACCGGACACGCCAGTCGTTCGACTGTACAGCTGTGAGGCTCTTTATCCAGTATTATATTGTGAGTTCCGGAAGTGTGAACTGTTTCAAAACAGGCAACACAACAGGCAGTTGTAACACCCCCTCAATGTATGAATATATGAACAAAATATAGGCTTGTGTTGATTGTGACTATTGGGTAATCGTACGCCCTATATTTGTGCAGGTGTCGACAAGTACTTCTTCACAATTAAGAAAAGAGTCAGCAAAGACTGGAAGGACCTCGCCGACTGTCTCGGTCTTTGGGGTGAAGTCGGCAACATAGAAAGCAGAAACCGAGATGACGAGTCTTGCTGTAGGGACCTGTTGGGCGTGTGGAAAACGCGGAAAGGAGATGCCGCCACCATGGAGGTCCTGATGGAGGCTCTGTCTGAGGCTGGGTTACAGGAGGTCGTGGATCATCTCAGAGGAAAGTTTCCTGGTACGTTATATTTCCAATGATTGCAGGGTTAAAGTGGATTTTGAATGTCGTGCCGTTAATCAGAAAAGTTCTACAATAGCCGTTCTATTGACATCTCTTGGTTTACTCTATATACCGAGTACACTTGTATGATACTTGAACTGTTGATCTGTATCCAGAGTTGCGTGTGTCGAGGCCACCAACAAAGAAGACAAAGCGAGGCACGGAAGACCCGGATCGGACCCCTGTGCAACCGTCCAAGAAACTGAGGGCTCATCCTGATGGTGAAGATGGAGAATCCTCAATAAAAGGTCATTATTCAATTCTTACAAGCTGCCGGGCTAATAGCATTGCCTAACTTGAAATTATTTCAGTTTAAAGCTTCTGTAGATTTCAGTAGTTCGGCCTATATCTATTTACTTCGTAATCCAAAGAATAAGAAGGACTTAGAGCCTTATAAGTTATGCTATGTCTACCCTCAGGTCAACATGTCGTCAGATCTGATACAATTGGAGAGGAATCAACCAACAGCGAATATGAAACTGCCACCAGCGAAGATGAATCAGCAACCAGCGAAGATGAAAGAAACAACAAATTTTACAGGTTCGTTCAGAGGAGTAGGCACGTATTTCACGAGGGGGTGCTCCGACATCCAGAGACATTTTCAACAGCTGTAAACGCGTTTAGGCGACATGCCAACGTCGTCTTAGGTGAGGACGACTCAAGTGTGGACGACTCTGATGAACAGAAACTTTCTAAGAGGGCAAAGTTGACAATCAGAAAGAAAATCAACGATGAGGTAGCACGGGTTGACGATCAACTTTTCACAGATGACACGGCTCTACGTAATACACCGATATACGATGGTCTGACACGAAGTTTTCAACATTTTAGGGCCACGCTGAGAAAAGCTACGCGCGGCTGCGTTCTCTGTTACCTTGATTTCGAGGATGAGTCTTGCTACAAAACATTCCTGCGAGCTTACAGGGACACAAGTCTGTCCGACACGCTGACCCGTGAATTGATCACAGACGACATGAGGGCAGCAGAAGGGGAGGATCTGTACGTACACGTCACACTGCTGGGAGAGGATGCGGGGTGTCAGGACGACAGTTTCTCGGATGAAGGTAATACAAGATCAATACAACAGTCGAAAAAATAAACACTCTCCAGCAAACAGTTTTCTACAGACATTGTGTACCAAAATATACATGTCACTTAAAACTAGGTCGGCATTAGACAAATACCACCATTCCGTTCATACAAGATAAGGACGTGTTCATGAACATTATATGTTTATTTGTGTAGTGATAGATAGTGATAGCAAGATATGTACAAAATTAGGTGAATAGAGACATAATTTCATCCAATAATATATATATAGTTACAGGTTTATCTATACCTGTCATACATACTCTGCGAGGACAGACATGCAATAGAACATGCTTTGTTCTTACAATGCAGGCACACTATCCTATGGTCAGATGACAGAAGAAGAGGTTGCTAAGGAAAAGACAGATGCGGTAGCATGGCCTGGTGGGATCAGGAAAGATAGAGTTTCAAAAGGTGGGCATTACCATTTTTTCAGGCATCCCAAACATTCTCGTGTCGCCTGTTTTATAGATTATGTACATTTTTGTTTGATTTTAGCTCTGAAATATGCCCAAAAACTATCAATGATTATTTACAGTGCTAACTTAGGGCGTTATAAATACCTCAGCAACTATAATCCGTTTAAGTGATAAAGTACGTTACATTACGTAAAGTTTCTACTCCATTTCGTAATGACCCTCATACGTAACTGCATATTCTTGCATTTGATTTGCAAGAATATTTCAATAAGGTCATCGCCAAGGTTAGTCACAAGTGGGATGACCTGGCCCGGACGCTGGGCTTCAGCAGGAATGAGATCAAAGGCATCCGGACCGCAGTGCCCAGTCCAGAACTCAGGTGTGGGGAAATGTTGCGCAGATGGTCAAACAAGGAGGGAAGCGGGGCTACTCTACAGGTACTGAGGAAGGCGCTGATCGACATTGGTGAACGGCTGACAGCAGAGAGTTTACAAGGTATGTTTGTGTCATTTCTCGCTAAAGGGCAATTATACTAACACAATGTACTTACTCTCCTTGTAGTCTCCACCAGACTCCTTTTCAGGCTGAATAACTTCATAAGTAGTGGAAATCGGCTGAGTGGGACATCATTAGTCAGAGGAGTTGGCGGGCCATAGAGGGTCCAGCTTGCTTCTGCAGACTACTTTCCTTGTAATATCCAAATAGTTAGATATACACTTAGTATATATCATTGGTCAAATTGGGGTATAAAGCGATGTAACTTTATGAAATTTTGTTCTCAACTTATGATAAAAAAAAAATGTTAACCATGCTTGTTCCAGTTGATGTGCAGAAATATGCTGACAAAGTCAGTAAACCCAGGTCCATTAGTTCCCTCCTTACATTTTATTTCCCTAACGCGTAATACATAATCTGCAGAGATTGACGGACAGTTAAGCGCCGTTGCTGACCATCTGGGCTCCGTGTGGGAGCGTTTGGCTTTATCTCTCGGCTTTAATACTGAGTACATCCGGGGTCTGAGCGCCAGACTGACCGCCATGGAACGTCCCCGCCAGCTGATGATGGACTGGAAAAAGCGGAACGCCGGTGACGTCACTCTGGACCAGCTGTTCCAGGCTCTGAAGGATGCTGGGATACACGAGATTGCAGGTGATGCTGTTGTGTCGTTTCTTCAGTGATCACCAATTATGCGATGTATAGTCGCACCAAATCAACACAATATTGAATGCAAATTTTTTCTAGGCTATTTCGTATTGTCTCATATATGTCTTACTAACCATTTAACCCTCACCCATTGTAGCCTCCTTTTCAGGCGTTCCGGATCGGCCGTTTTTTGGGGGGGAGGGGGGAGGGGGGTAGTTTTCGTGATCAAACGTAGATTGCACGCAGTAGAAGCTCCGGCTGGCAACCCTACACGGAGATATATGTAGGGTTGGCCAGCCGGAGCTTCAGAGAA